AATTCATCAATCCGTTGATATGTTTCCTTTGAAATAAATCATAAATAAATGCTTATCTTATTAAAATGAGTAATAAAAATATGCACTTAAAATTTCAGAATGAATTGTTTCATTGATAAATATATAAGAAACTTATAAATTAATTTAAATAGAATTCATTAAGTGTCAACACAGTAATTTAAATTATTTTTATACCAAATATAACTTTTCAATTAAACAAACATTTTTCAATCAGCTGTACGCAACCATGTGACAGATCGTTGTTGACGATCTGATTTTGTCATTTGTTATTTGTATAAGTTTGTAACAACTTGTTGATAAGTAACAAACAATTCTCATTGATTACGTCATTAAGTATTTTTTCAACAACTAAAATAGAAATATACCTATGCTTTTATTACAGCATATTGCATTAGTTCAAACTAGGAGCGCTTATCGATTTACGACCTACAACGTTCGTGTCTGTTATAATTTTTCTTAATAAATCCTAAACTTTAGAGAACCGTAAAACGCTTAATATTAAATAAAATTAAATATTTTTTTTTATTATATTTAAAAAAATTGGGTTGCATTTGAAAATTTAAAGTTAATATAAGTTTTAAGCATACAATTGGTAGTAGAAATTTATTTTTTCTTGTGAAACAGCTCATCCAATCTATAATGATTAAAAAAAAATTGTTTATAACAATTTTATTTTTTAAGATATTACGTGAGACATAGTTAGCGGATCACTCTGTATTTATTCTGCGATTATAAATACATTATAAATTTCCAGATAAAAATAATTTATCAAATAAACTTGAAACGTTTAAATTACGCTAAAAAGTAATTTAGTAACCTTTTCTTAAAACTAAATTTAAGGCCAGATGACCTAATATATGAACCATATTTTCTTATATTAGATGATGTATATAACTAAATTATACGTTCAATTAACTGATTTATGATAGCTTATAAAATATTTAATAACATAATAAGAATTTTATAAAAAGTTTTATTTAATTTAATTATCATTAAAATAATTATCTCTTATCATTTTTTTTTGGTCGAAATATCAAATAAAAAAATAAGCACAGATTCCTACAAAAACACAACAATTTGTTATTAAATGGTGCATTAAATCGATTTGCTAATTTCTGTCCAAAAATGCTGCGGATATTTGTGTAAACATGTCAATATTGATAATAAAGAAATTGTATCAAGATTGATGCACACTGCAAGGTAGCGTGCACTTTCGATCGAAAGCAATGGAATTTGAAACTAATCGTGTGGGTGTGTATGTGCATGTATAAGGGATGGAACTAGATTAATACTCCTGACAGAGGGTGAAAAATAAAACCTAAAGAGCTTTTTCTACTTTCCGTATTGTTGCTATTATTCCATTCGAATTGTTCTTCTGATAACATGCACTCGCGGAAAGTACCACCCACAGTCATCATTCCCACGGGACTAAGGGAAAAACTCATTTATACTTATTTTTCAACAAAAATACTACGTACAGGCTTCGTGAGCTGCCAAAAAGATGTGTGACCTATGTCAGTTAGGACTAGAGAATGAGTGAACAGAGTTTGTAGGAAACAATAGCTTCTCCATAACATGAGAAACGAAAAATAGCCATTTACGTGAATGAGGGAGTAACGACCACAGTAATAAATTTAGACATATTCTGTAATCG